ATGTACGCCAGTTGGTTTTCCTGAAAGTTCGTTCTCCCTCGATAGATAAGTTGGTTATACTCCATAGGTTACGCTGATTAGGCCGTGTGCCTCGTATCCTAGAGGACCGTCTGCCTAGCAGAGCCCTATTCGCCCAGCTTTGTGTCCCTTGGAGACGACTCAGGGTCGGTCAGTCTATCACCTGGAAACAGAGCATGAAATCCCTTGCAGGTCAAATCAGCCGCATTGGTAAATGCTCTCTTTCCAATTAGGGACGGCGGGGCAAGACAAACCAATAGTTGGTAACCCTGAGAGGTAGAGCTGTGTCACGTGATCAGTGGTCGTCTTGCACGAAATCTATCGCCTTCATTGTGTAGCCCTGAAACCCTGCCACACCTGACAAACAGAACCATTCGACGTCAATGAATTGATTATACCATCTCCTCCAATGTGTGGCTTTCATTACATCATTTCCTTATCCCAGGTGAAAGTGACTGTGCTGAAATCGTGTGATTTGATACCAAAAACACACTAATATACTTCTGAAGTAAACCATTCTGGAGACAACGACGGTTTGTTCTTGTTATTAACTGTACAGCTAAAACGAGTATACAAATCGCACAATTTGCTGTTGTCCTGCATGAATAAATTGATACTTCTAGGCTTTTTGCAGTTGTCACCCTCTAGGCAAATCAGACCACCAGTGATGTATGTCCAGAGCTGAAATGATGCACGTGTATCTCCTCCTCTTCTGCATGAAAACTGCCGATTGGCCACCTGACGCAAGTCACGCCTGCCTGTCGTACACTTCTTGACTCCTAACCACCACAGCAAAATGGGCTAAGAGATAACCTGAAGAATACGTTCAGGCAACTGGGTTACTTGTTGATGACATTTTTACCCATTCAGTGAGAAGAACTGGAGTTTGACAGTTTTATGAGGACTTTTAGATACGTACAGAATGAAAGTAGAAAACTAATATGTTAAAACATGAACACGGAATGTATATGACTGAGAAAGTCGGTAGGTTTAACTGGTGTTTGTTCCCTACTTGCACGATTCCTCTGTACAGGAACTAAAAGAGACGATGAACCGCCAGCTAGTCTGAATTACGTTTCAACGCTACGAGATGCATGGTAAAATACGACTTTGCCTACAGGCTGTAAAAGCTTACTGAAAAGAAAATGAGACAACCCTATGGCGTGAGTAAAGCACTTGGGCGCTGGAGCTCAGAAGGGCTAACTAGCAACAAGTAAGAGGAATTCAAAACATCAGTAAAATCTGACAAATTTCAACACATTTGAGTGCAGAATTTACTGAGCTGAATGTGATTCGATCACCAAAGTTGCAGTCGCATTTTTTCGCCTTCATTGTACTTAGTGGGTGAGTCATTAAAGAAACCGGATCGATTTCCCCGAAAGTGAGTGTTTGGTGTTCCCGTCTCACTCTGTAACTTAGTGTGTTCCGATTTTCCGATCATACCATGTGAAGTAGAAACTGGGAAAACGGCTTGCCCTGACAAATATATTAATTTGCATGCCAATCCGGTTTCCATGGGATACTCAGCTGAAACTCAGCTGAATATTTCGTTTATGAGACTGGTATGCAAATGAGTGTATTTGTCGAATTTCGTGCAAATTGTGTTCAAATAGAGGTTGACGAAAACCCGTGGACTGCGCCTACCTGATGAGCACCACAAAAAACATTTTTGTGCTGCTGAAGGATTTTCAGGAACTCTGCGAGCAGTTTACTGCATGAAAAGTGGCTCTCTCATTTCCGAATCAGGGCCACCAGACTCGCCCCTGTATGCACTGTGAGGCCCAACAGTTCTGTTGTGCTCGCTTCAATTGACAGATGTAGGCAACAATTTCGGCATCCTGATGCCTTCAGAGTTGCCTATTCTGTTCATCTTCCGGTGTTATCCCGCGGAGTTGCANGTTGCACCGCTTTCATGTTTGTGCCCACGCGGTCCAGCTCAAGCCGACTGTGGCACTACCCATTTTGTATGGGTATCCATTGGCTCCGATCAAGTTGACAGGTCAATCCGGAAACGGATTTCATCAAAAAGCAAAAAACATACAGATGCTTACAACTAGAAGAGATAATGATAAAACCTTCTTTGCCGCACCGATATTTGTCACTTCATTGGCATCATTCTTCTAAAATGACCAATCGTACTCCATAAAACAGTAACTGAACTTTTTACTGAGAGCGTTACTGATGACTTGACACCAGGGCTCCCCCGAAATGAGTTTCATGTTCAACCCACGATTTCGGATGAAAAAGGTCCACAAAAAGCATGATGAGGTTTTATATGAAGGGCACTCGAAAATCACATACATTCCCATTCTGGGTTTAAATGGAATTTTGAATCTTCGGTAGCCTCTGTTTTCCGTGCAATATTATCACACTACACTGATAACTTTATTAGAGTATGAAACTCAAATATGAGGCCACTCGAAGTTTCCACGAAATTGCGTACTGTTCTTCAGTAAAATTACATAACAACATTCGAAAAATAAATTTGAAACGGTTACACAAATGATTGCGTCGGTCGGAAAATGGCTGACTTTAGAAAAAATCACCGGCAAGGCAAAATTGGTGGTTGAACACGTGCCTCTTAAGTCAATGGCCTGATGCCGCCAAACGAAAGTCCCGTGACCGCCCCCGCTACGTACCTATAATTAGTCTATTTTTTTTTCCCAAAACCGACCATATATTTGCCAATATAAACGTGGATGTTGAGCCATGACTCGGCGTTATTGCATAAATGGCACATTTTAAAGTTTACAACGTTTATCCATATGTTGTAGCATGTATACAAAAAGAAGGACGAATTGTGGCAAACGTCTAAATGTTCCGCACTAATTTGCCGCAAATACTTCGGCTGTCTAGGTGACGCAGAACATGTCGCCGTTTATACGGATAGTGAGTAGTTTAGTCACGCGAAACCGTCTGCTTTTGAGTGTAGAGATATCTGTTACACAACGCGCTGAGCAAAGTTGTAAGGGTATCAACAGCGAAACACTGAGCCTTTCTCACGTCGAACTAGTAAATGCATGGCGAGGAGTCTTGGGACATTACTATGACTTTCACTTCCGAGAATTTGTTTCCTTTCATTTTCCGTAAATTTTCGCGTATTTTGATGCATTTGTCTTATTCCAAAAAAGGTTTCGTATAATACGCATGCCACTGTCATCTCTCTGTGTTACCCTACAGAAATCAAGGTTTGTCGCCAGACGTCTCATAACTCGACCCACCTGTCATTCTAATTTCGGACACTACTGATTAAACAGGCTGAGGACACTGTTTTTCTCTCAATCTTTTAGATTTTAAATGTTTGCAAATGAGATGTAAATCAGTTGAACCCTCACAAACGTTTCTGGACGGTTTCTTTATTCGGTCAACCATCAAACGTCAAAACTGTTCACAGTATGGTGAAACATTAAATCAGTATGGCTACAGTAGTTGGCGTATCCTGAGATAACCTCCAAAGTCTGCCTCTGTATATTACCAAGACTTCCACATCGTGCGGTCTACCTTCCGGCCGACACTTGCAACTCTACACACGTTTTATTCGCTTGGATAAACTACCGATTTTGTCGTCTGGACAGTAGCAATGGTATGCTTATTGAGATCGACGCAATTCGTTTTTGGCTTATCTAGATTGTTCGAATGATGAATGTCAACGTGGAGGTGAAAGACGTGGCGCGAATCGGAATTTTCGTCTACTCGGGTACAGGCAGTCTAAAAGAATTCCTTAGCACAGTAGTTACTCCGAAAAAGTAATAGTAGCAATAAAATAACACAAATATTAAGAGGATGGTGGAAAAGTTAAGTAAAGATAGAACCTAACGAGCAAACTAAACTTACGTCAAACCTTTTAGACTGGTCAAGAAGGATAGCGTCCAACGTGTACGGTGCGGAATAAATATGGACTTATTAAGAAGATGGGACCAGCACTTCGATAGCCTGGGGTTCGATATCCAGGATCTCAAAGAAAACCTGTCTGAAGAAAGACGCTGGTGAATGACTAATACGCGTAACAAGACGAACCAATCAACAAATTGTACGGTGCGGAATAAATATGGACTTATTAAGAAGATGGGACCAGCACTTCGATAGCCTGGGGTTCGATATCCAGGATCTCAAAGAAAACCTGTCTGAAGAAAGACGCTGGTGAATGACTAATACGCGTAACAAGACGAACCAAATCAACAAATACCGTTTTCATCTTGTAAGTGAGGTCACTCGAGCAAACTCATGATTGGGCGAAGCGGATCCGCTGACTAAAGGAGGGATGGAGCTATATCCTGTCTAGAAACCAAACAGGTGTGCAGTACTCCTGGGATTTTTAGCATAGATTTGCTTCACTTACAAAATGAAATGTGCGTTAGAAATTTTCAAAACTTCCCGCACTACCAACATTTTATGCATGATCTTATCGCACGCGACCTAACAGTGGCTACGGGAAACACGGAGAGAGATAAATTTCTCCTTGGTTGATCACAGACATGCAAACAGTACCACAACATGAGGGTAAAAACTCACCCACTCCAACTTAGACAGGCCTAACTTAGCGGACCAAAGCTACTGGCGGTGCCAGAAATATTAGCTGAGTAAAGCAGAATACACTGGTAACGGATAAGACTAAGTTTCACAAAGTTGGTGTTTATGAGTCTTTCTGAAACCTTAGTAGCACGTATGTATGTGCGACTAAGGTTTCAGAAAGACTCGCAAGGTCGGAGAATTTTTCTTTCCCTTTTATCCTATTTTTTAACACTTGCATAGAACAAAATGTGAACTGGGTTGTATTTTTGTTGAAACACAAGACAACAATGTAATCAGTCTTTAAAAACTGATTATCTACATCAGTTGGGAACCAGTGCTCTTCATCATTAAAAGGGAACTAAAAATCACTTGGGATTTACAAAGTTAAGTAAATTGTTAAAACGATTTATTTGACCCCATTTCGTCTTTCATATTTCTAACCCATCTTTTGCTTACTTCTCTAATTACAGTGAACACTGCCTGTGATCACCAAAAGTGAATCTCCGGAAACGTCAAACATCAAGCTAATCCATACAATCATTCCTCACGCAAATGGGGAATCTCCTTGGTCCGCATAAAAAGCTGCCAAAAGAAGATTTAGAGTTCCTTCGAGCGAATACGAATTTCACAAAGAAACAAATTAAACAGTGGTACAGAGGCTTCATAGTAAGTCGATTTGACATTGTTTCCCGTAACTATATTTATCACGCGAGTGAGCTTGGTTTCATTTCCAGGATTGCTTCTGACACATGTGGTGTACGGTTTTTCTGAGTATTCTGCTTCAACGGTTTTTGTATTTACTCAACAAAGTCTACTCATCACCTGTTCACGACCCTGATGTACGGACCACACTAAAAGTATATCATTTTAGTTGGAGATGTTCTCCAAGGGACATGCTCAACCAGGACCACCTACCGAAATGTGCAGTATCAACTCGCTACGACGACACAATTCCTTTCAGGGTCGTGCTAACTGGGGTTACCAGTGAAAAGCATGCAATATGAAAACAGAAGCACACAATTTACTACCAACACTAATGGAATGGAGAATTTTTTCAGCATTCAGTAACACTGGGTGAACACATGGTTTATTAGAACTCGGTTAAAACTGTTTGCGCCTGTGTTGATTCTGGAACGGAGTATTTCATCTAGAAGATATTCTGTTTATGCTTTCATAGAGATTCTGTCTATTAGAGAGGTGTGAAATGACTTTACTCGTTTTCTGAACTGCTCATAAGAGCTTAGTACTAGAACCATACAATGGTTAACCGTCCCGTTCACCGACACTTGTGAGAACCTTCTGAGTCCCACTTGCACCCACCACGTCTACAGTATTGCATTCTCCATTTGCCAATAGTTCAGAGCCATGTCTTTTGAAAATATCGGACAGTGGTCAAAGAAATGACCCAGAGTGTTTGTCAAATATGTTGTCAGTAGCAAAACAACAATGACTGTTTGACCATTACTGTTTCCAGAGTTGTTGATCTGTCAACCAACTGTTTCCAGTGTTCTCTGTCTTCGGACGGGACTTCTGAATTTTGTTTCACTGGACGAATGCACATGAAAAAACTAAATGGCCTTCTGACCGATAACCCACAAGCTTGAAAGTGAAGTGGCAGATAAGCCTTCTAAAATTGTTTGCAATCTGGAGACAAACAATGTCAAGGTTAGGTAAGAAATCTGACGCCGGATGATTGGTTGCATGTCTCTGCTGCTGTCACGTCGTATACCCACGCTGATCAACGTTCGCATTTGCCGCGATCAGTCACACTTGCCTTAGAGATATCGAACTGGACCAAAGCAGTCATATTGCGGTGTGACAGATTGCACAATGTGCAACCCTGGTGGCCGAGATGAAGAAATCGTGGGCTATTATCTCGGCTAGCCGGGTTCAGTCCTTACATGGATGCTTTCAAAATGACCGCCGTATCTCGTCCTGATAATCTGTTCACATGTGTCAAAAATAAAAAAGTAAACTGGATTTTGGTAAACGAAGAAGCGATAATAACCCCTGGTAATGGAGGATATTCTTACATCCAACACAAGTGCCGGACACTGCGACTAATCTTGCGGGTGGTCGTTTGCGCGATGTTTGTCTCGCTAAGACAGATCATTACCAACCGATTGAATATATAATTTTTATTGCTAATTCGACGTAACCCCATCGCACAGTAAAATATGTCACATTTCAAAGATTGCATAGTGGATTTTATTCACTCTTACTGAAAGCATAGCCAATATTAGAGGCATTCTCATCCAAAACCCCGGCAGTCTGGATACTCTTCTCGATTTTTTCAAAACTGTATACATCATGGAAGCAATAATTCTGTAATCATCATCGTTTTCGAGATCCAGATAGTCCAGCTCTGAGGTTCTAGACAAAACCATGTTCATTAATCGATGTTTACTCGTCCCCGAGCAATAGCCAGACTTTAAAGCTATATAAAATTGGAAACTAATCCAAGTTAATGTGCTGGTACAAAATATCATGGGATTAACTGAGTGGATTAGGCTTGAAGGGGCAACTAATACATATAGTAGACCGAAAATTTCGCCCAACGACAACAGAATTTTTCCCGTGAAAAAAGGCTTCAGAAGGCTTCAAAGGTTGTAGTATACACGGTAATTTGATGTGCTAAATTATCACCTTTTTGCTTTGCCACGAGACCATTTCGGCGGATTTGTCCTTGTCGGTTGACAACCCTTCTGTTGTCTGACCTGCATCAACAACTTCTGCACGGCTATGTGACGCCCATACAGGTTGGTCGGTAAGCGAAGTTGACTGTACAACCACCCTTCTGCTTTGGGTAAACTCTATCGGTGATTAAAAAGTTAACCCAGGGAAATGAAAAACCGATGGATGAAAGCTTGATCAACAGTAACTTAGTAGCAGTAAACGGCCCAGCTGACTTTGCTGTAAAATATTGGTTCTTCAGAACTCAGTGTTGGTGAAATAAACTTGAACTAGTAGCCAGCGAAGCTTGTAAGGAATGCAATAAAAAGAAATGCATTTAGGTATAAAACGAACCTCCTTGCGTCTTTCAGATGAACGTTGGTCTATAACTATTTCAAATTTATTCGATATTTCGTCCTAAAAGTCCTGGATAACTGTTTCATCCTTATCGAAATTCATCAGCAGTGCACATCTCACGAAATTCCAGGCTAGTAGGTGAACACAAAATCGTTCGGTCACAAGCGGTTTTTCAGTAGTGTGAATAATTCGCACTAGGACAACTTGCGTGAACCTTCCACATTAGAAGTCGTCATCAGATAAGTCAGTGAACACTTAAGCATGTGATGAGAATCCCATAATTAAAGGATGAGGAGCACTATATCCTGCACGAATCAGTTGGACTGTCAACCAGTAGCTCGTGGCAAGAAGGCCTTCTTTTCATATGCTGACCCGAGGGTCGCAAGTTTAAACCTACCTGGAGTCATTTTAGGTGCGCGCTAATAGCGAGCCTCAATAAGGATGAGGACTTGTAGACTGACACCGCTTACATGGCGAAGCGCTTATGAAATTTTCAAATCCCTTAAGGATATCAAAACATTTTCACTATACGTTTCAAGTACAAAAATGACTGAGTGGCTATACTCATCAGACGATAAGATAAGTGGACGATCAGTAATATTTTATTGATTTTTAAATTGAAAGAACGACCTTGAAATGACATTTAGTCATTTCTGTTCCTTAGGAGCCCCATTCGAGTGCACGTCGTGGCACAGTAGTTTTCAGTAATCCCAGCTGTTCCTCTGCGAATGGTTCCCCCACAATGTTGCATTTCTTCACAAAAAAGGAATTTTGGTCAATATCTCCCTATACCCCGTTATCAAAGATGAGCAACCCTGGAATTTTTTCGTATCCAGCAGAGGTGGTTAATTCCCGAATTATGTAACACGTTATCATGGAAATCTGAGCACAATTTTCTTTATGCATTGGCTTTGGTATTTGTTTAATATGGAAGCAAAAATACTTGACCGGAACGTGAATAAAAACATTTGTTGTCATACCATATAGGACATTTGTCGTTTCTATAAGTGCTCATTAGTTAAGAGGAGATGGATCGCTCATTCAGTGCGTTGGTCAGAAATTAAAGATTTTTGGCCACAGAGTCCTCTCCCCAGTACCCAGTTTTTCGCAGCCGCGGTACTCTTTAGATTCGCTTGGTGCCCTTCAGTGATACTGGAGAGTTTATAGCTGGTTTGCCAAATCTGGATACAATTCCGAGGGGAATACATTTACATGGTCTCGGACAACTTTGAATCGTGCGTACGTATACAAAAATCGATGCAGTTGGGTTAAATTAATCTGAGAACTTTGGGAGTGAGAGGAAGGCAAATCAAGCGTTTCTTCAGTATTGTTATCTACACATTTTTTGATTTGATATAAATTAAGCACATCATAAATAGGATTACACCGTAGGGAGAAGAATCAAGTTCGCTTGACTCAAAACTCACCAGTAACCAGTAATCGAGTAGACAGTTTTTGGGTAAATGGCGAAGTAATTTTCAAGAGGACGATTTCTCATTAAAGACTACAATTTATGTGATAATTCCTCTTTTCTGGTGAAACATTTTTATCCGCTGATGCTGATGGTCGTTTTTCGCTCGCCATTTGCATTTCCCATTTCCCGAACTTGTCAGCGCGACTGTCCTTCCGGACAGTTGAGCAAGAAAAAGTTTATCGAGGTCTACTCGGGTTTCTTTCCGGACGGCGATGCCGAGGAATTTTGTACACACGTATTCCGAACATTTGACAAAGACAACTCAGGCAAAATTGATTTCAAAGAATTTCTGCTAGCGATCAATATCACCTCAGGTGGAAAACCGGAAGAGAAATTGGAATGGGCGTTTCAAATGTACGACATCAATGGAAACGGAACGATTGAGAAATTGGAAATGGTTGAGATTATCAAAGTTAGTATTTGAACAAATTTAAGACCACTTTAGCGGCCGCACTAATTAAATATGGTTTTGAGTGTTTTAAATTGTTTTTTGTTTTGTTTTCGATTCAACCTACTTGCTGACAAGTTAGGACCGACCTTATATTCACAACAAATCAGTGTGAAAGTGTCCTTTCAGATCCATGTTAACTATCATGATCCATTTGGATAAGTCCGCTGGAATTTACTGCTACAGCTAGCGGTGGACATTAAGTCTATCTATCAGTTTTCAGGAACTTTTATTGCACAAAGTCATCACTAGAACATGAAAGGTAAGGACCGCCTGTTTGGTGCCCTTCAAGACTCTTCCTAATATCATGTTACTAACATTGTGTTCGAAATGGTTACTAATCCATATCAGGAGTACGTTGAGACGTGCTCCAGATACATGAATGATCTCTTGGGACATTTTACTCTTGGGAACCCAGAGAAAGTGCACTCTTGTAGTACTCTTATATAGTTACATGTATAGAAGTAGAGACGACTAAGTGTTACTTAAGCCAATCAAAACAGAAACTATAATACGGTACCTTTCGCGATGGAAATATCGGGAAAATCAGCTTGTTCATAGAGATCCGCTCGTTCAATCTGATCCTATTCTCTGAAAGAAGCTTCAAACAATCGGCTAAAACTACACTGTTGGCTCCCTATAGTCATGTCTTCTCCAGAAAACGATAGCTCTAACAGGTGACTATTGAACTGCATTTCTGAGGTTATTCCCAAGGAAATAGCAATCTACATTGGGCTTTCAAGAAATCAAGGAAAAAAAGAATTTTAACGAAATCCCTCCATGTCATTTATGGAGTAACGCAAGTAGAAGGCAAGCAAAAGACCTCATCACTCATAAAAACACCGAAGTACACCAATGTTTTGTCCCTAGCACTCGATCATCATACTCAATTCCTTTGAGATAAATCGTACACTCTCCACTTCTCGATTAATTCATCAGACCACTCGAAATTTCGTCAATTTGATGACGGTCACACTACACTGAACAAGTCACACAAATTTTTGAAAAAGTCCTTTGGATACAAAACTTATCACCAAATCCTAGGTGAGCGAATTTGTGGAGTGAAAAATGTTCCAAAAGTTGTCTTAAACTTCAGTATATGTGTTAATCGAGAAACCACGTACACGCAAGTGTTCTGAAGTCAGACTTTACTCCTAATGCAAATTAGTGTAGAACGTCGGTAGATACAAACCAATGCCACCGATCTTCTGACTCGGAGCTGCCAGAGCGGTTCAAACTGGGATTATGAATTCCCATTTGTTAATTAGCTGGTGGTAAGTAGCGATATGCCCGAATATTCGGGAACCAAGACGACTTCTTATTAGCTTCGACTAAAAATCACACATCTGAGCGCAAAAATCATTGCCAGAGTCCTATCGTTGGACCCGGATGTGTTACGAAGTTGGAATGAACCCGTCGACAAGTGATGGTCGTCAAAAACAATACGTCAAGGAGAAGCACGATGCAGGGTGTCAAGTGACTAGAGTGTGGGTGTGTCAGATGTGGTGTTTAGATCATGTGGACCACCGAGAATGCTCACTTGTACCGATTCTGTTTGTCGGTATTGTACGGCTGTGGTTAAACCACGGATAGATTGGTTAAGGAGAGTCGTCTTTATGTTGAAAGTGGATTTTACGGCCTTCCTTTTCCTGTCTAGGACACTTTAGTGGAATAATACTTTTGGTGTCTTTCACAGATTTTGTTCGCTTCTGTTCTTCGAGGGGTACCGGGACAATTGGTTTGGGGTTGGGGTGGTTAACTGGATCCTGCTCTGCTTGGATTTTGTACTTTTAGACCCAGACCATCTTGCTGATAACTGCACCACCTCATGTCATCTCGGCTGATCTAAAACCGCTCAGCACACGCTTACCACTTCTACGTCCTCTATTCTATTCACACTGGGATGCATGGCGATTTCCACCATCAAGGCCACCAGTCGCTGTGGTGTGGTCTCAGAATGTCCACATTTTTCAAATCCATGCTGTGCCCGGTGTCTAGTGCAAGCCCTGTCATCGCGAACCTTTGATTATCGCCTGATATTCATTCGCGTTTCTCGGTGGTCTGTTAATGGGTCTATTAATGGACCTATTCTGATGTGCAGTTCTTTGGCTGTCTGACCTATACAAACCTTCGTACAGTCGTTACATTTTATTTTGTATACACAACTCCTAGTCCATCCAAAATGAAGGTGACCCTCTGACTGCACCAACTCCAAGTGTAGTGTTTACAAATGGGTTAGGCCCAGCGGGAGACTACATTGATACTTACAATGCCTTTAAAGTCATTTTCGTTGTCTAAGATAACAAAAAGAATTAGAGCACCGAGACCTACTATCATGGGAGCTGTAGTTATCCACATCCATATTCTTGCGTTTTGCGTCCAGGGACATCCTACGTCCATAGTCTAACACCCATGGTATTGACGCTACATGTTAGCAAACAGAACCAGTGCGAATGGACATTCTCTAGGATGCGCACGAAACACGAGACCCAAACATTTCCATTGGAACAACCCTAACCTAGTCAGTTGACCCCCGCGTTAAGCCTGTCCTTGACGTGTTGTTCTTACTGACTATCTATTTTTCCATGGATTCATTCTAACGTTTGACGATAAGATTTTGTGAACGACTCCTCTACCCGGATTTACGTTCCAATCTGTTCGGGTATTCCCGTTGGTCACAGTGATTTTTATGAGACGATGATGAATACACTGTGATCTGGTTCGACGACACATTGAACCTAATTGGCAGCCGCTTGGATTCACTTACTACCAAACACTGAACACTGAGAAGGGGGAAAGTTATTCTACACACTGGCTTTACTGCCGACTGTGTTAAAGTGCCGTTTGCGTTCAAAAAGAGGATTGAGCTATAGTTTTACCTACTAATACCCAAGTCACAGTTGAGGCGTGAGAAATTATTGCTTGTCTGCAACCTACCTTGAAGTGCTCGATGGTTTTGCCCAGCATTGCGAGACCAGCCCTCTCTTTACTACGCTTGGAATGAATAAGAGGGTCCTATCCACAAACCTTAACCACTATTTACTCTAGAAACACCCGAGAGATTCGCCCTCTCTTTACTACGCTTGGAATGAATAAGAGGGTCCTATCCACAAACCTTAACCACTATTTACTCTAGAAACACCACAAACGAGAGATTCAGCTGGGTTTCAGGTGAGTCCCTCGAAAAACGAAATTAATTTGCAAATGATTGTATTTCACTATTTACTCTGTTGTTCGAAACACAGCGTACTCAGTAGAGATGAGCTCTGTGTGGATAAAACTTGATAAATATATCCATGAAGCCACACAAAACCACTTCCCTCAATGTTGATAGCTCTCTTCTTATTTTCTTTTCGAATAGGCCATCTACAGTATGCTCGGAGCAGACGAGAGCACTGTAGACCTCAGTCCAGAAGAACGGACCAATGAGATTTTTGAAAAGATGGACAGCAATGCTGACGGCGTCCTAACACGAGAAGAGTTTATGAATGGTTGTATGGCGGACAAACAACTGTATTCTATGCTACTGGCTGATGAGCCGACGGAGTAGGCAGGTTCCAGTTTGCGGTATAGTAAATATGAATCCAATTTTTATGCAACTGCGCGTGATGAATTGAACAAGCATAACAAAAAAACTGTTTCCAAATTTTACAGCGAGATTCCCAGAACTCCCTGTCGCTTGGTCAGCTTCACACAGAACCAGATCTTATCTACACACAAACCGAATCGCTCAAGTTGGTCCGTATGCACGACATTCACGCGTGCATAGGTGTACCTGTGTGGACTATGTATGTGAAAATATTTAAGCCTAGCAAATGGACGGTTTGTTGCATTTTCCTAGCAAAATATCCCATTCCTTCCAAACCAACGTGAGCAATATCCAATAAATTCCAAGCATTTCTGAGCCAAACTCCAAAGAATGTGTACAAACTGCGGCCAGTATTGTAAAATTCATTTCGACCGTCGCTTTCTCAATCAATGCAAGCAATATCTATCCCTATGCTCTTTTGAACTGAACCCGACCAAATTCCTCGATATGTCTGTCATCTTTATTGAAAAAGGTCTGTTTTGTTTCGTAAAATAAACACTCATTTTTCAAGCACTTATGGCTTGTCTGTAATACGGTCAAGATTCCAATGAATCATGTGCCTGGAATTCTAAGCGATGCGTCGGAATATCTTTCTGCCATCCAAGCTTAGGTGATTTGAGTTAGCAAGACGTCAGCAACTTTGTGCGTTTCAGGTTGTCATTAGTGGTTGAATACACATTGTAGCCAGATGGCTTAAGAGTGGATTATTCAGAGATGGAGAACCGATCACCCTAATATTTCATAAAACGTAGTTGAGGTGACTGCTACTGGCTTTCGAAAATGGTCAAAAACAGTCAGACCTATTTCGCTTAAAAGATTTATTGTTGAGCAAATCGTTTGATGCCTAGCTAGCGCTCAATTTTTAACAAACTGCGGAAGAGAAAGCATTACTAAATTCAGAGTAGTGAATCTTATTCGACCGCCAACTATTCATGATGATTGGCTAAACACGATAAACACACATACGGGTACTTAATTACACCTATTAAAATGACGGAAGTTTGGTTTGTATTTTCTCGTGAAAGACGTTTTTTCATCAGCTGCAATTTTTCGGTGTGGGCTGCATTCAGCAAGATACATTGTAGTGCGCTTTACCATCCTGTGGACTGTTAATTCCCATCAGGTCAATTTATCACAGTTTAGCTAACCACTGCGTAATCCTTGGTGTCTCTAAGCTAATGTTAAGAACCAGCATCTGTGTGAATATTCTGCGTTTTTTTGGTTGGCGCTCTGTATTGTTCGACGAAGCCACGATTGTCTTTTGACCCATTTCAACAAGAAATTTGCTTTCGCTTATCACCCTCTTACACGGAAACCAATTCGATTACGTGGACGATACATAATTTCGATTCATTTTGGAAAAGTTTTATTATCTGAATCGCAGTCTTAATCTAAATTCGGCCGGAAACCAGCGAGAGGAGTTCAAAGATCTTCAAACTAGAACTTTGTGCTTGATTGCAGTACAGTAGAAACAAAGAGTTATTTATCAAGAAGTCATTAAGATACTCGGTAAAAGCAAGGTGTCTAAAGAGAGTTGTGCGACAACTTGACCGGGATTTATGGCTGAAAACCCTCCGGATGTCACGATGCACCGAAGTGATCACATAGTCTAGTCAAGCCAATTATCAGCCTTCTGTCAGTTTATAACTCCGGCTCTTTAAGGGCACATTCCCTCAATTTCCTTTTTTCGTAAACACTTGTTGTACTCAAGTATATCTGCCAGCGACTGCAGTCGTCAGTGCAGTCAACTTATGGTTTACCTACTCTCGCATTTTTTCACCGAACTACAGTTCGTTATTGCAAACATGATCCCTACCGCTTCCTGGGTTAGTTATTTGGGATTTATAGACTGGCCCAGCGTGTAATTTATACCAGGCTAGTTGAAAACTGGCATTTTGGGGAAGTTGCCAAGAGGTCATCCAACGGCAGACTTCTGAATGAGAAAACAATTCATCCTTACCATACCCAACATACCCTGATATTGACATACGAGAAAAGATCATCATAATGAACATTCATCCTTGCCGAAACGGTCCGGTATAACAAAACTGACGAACAGGGAACATTCCACTGTTCTAACCAAGCAAAGCAACTAAACACCAATTCCCGAAACAACCAAAAATCTTCGGACTTGGCTATCAATTTGTCGATCAGGCAGGCGTGAGAATTCTATCTTGAAGGATTAGTTTCTGCGGCAGCTGTCGTTGGGCTGGTCCAGCCCACTTATGAGAGGTTGGCCAAATGCCAGTATTCTGTTCAACAGTGTCTAGCCTCAGTGAAACTCGGTGGACTTACAACGACACTGTGTTACCAAGTTGTTGGTAATAAATCGGCATATTGGTGGCTCCGGTATGTTAACCGGTTGGTAAATGGATGACTGTTGATCTGTGCACGCGCAGTAACGATGTCCACATGTTTACTGACACAACGTCTGCAAGAAAGCCGCCAAGTTTAACGAACACATTGACAACCACCTGATCTACGACCAATGCCATTTTAGCACTGCGTTGCTTGTGGTTCACCAGTTAGCGCATACCATCAGGCTTCTAAACAGATGCATGTTTGAGAAATAGTCGAATCTATTAGCCTGAAAAGTCTTTAAGTATCCTGGTGACCACAGCTGCTCTTGTGATTACTTGATCTGAACATTGTAGCATGCACTCGCCAGCTTATTGTTGTGCCATCTGAAAAAAACGGCATAACGGCGATGTTAGAGGACACGACTGATGATTCAATTCACTAACTCTCATATTTGTGGTTGCACAAGTAAACAGACTTTGATACTTTAGACGATACAGAAAGGAAAGAAGAGTCTGACGCCACTGATTGCCGAAATAGCTCTGGATTGGTTAATGAGGACAAGGTGGACACTTAGATAACACCTGATAGACTACGGACCCCTCTTTTTATTTGGCCGGTTGAATAACGCCTGGGATTTCGAGTGCCCCGCGTGAGTCGAGGGCAACCAATGGAAATATCCACAGACTGCTGTTTTTCTATTCGTTATTTGTTGGAATATAATCTACACTGCTACTACGGCTACTTGTCTTTCGACTGCCCTGCTGCGTGAATTTCACGAGCTTACATTCAACAAGCACAATGAATACTAAAATGCTACAATAATTTAGGGATCTGTATAGCCCGACCTGCCAAATGAGCTGCATTTCGTCACACAACGAATTTGCGTAACTCGGAACAATTTTTTTCTTTAGATAGGCTACTGCATCTAGAAAAGTAGTAAAAATGTACATCAAAAGTGCTTGATACATTTCTCAATTGCTCTATCCGTACTAAAAAAACAGTTGGTTTCCTATCAGAGGCCACTATTAATCCACAAGTCTTCCAACCTGGGTGTAAATGCTGGATATCAGAAGCACGAGTAGGCCTCGAACCGGCAACATTTTGAATACGAGATTAAAACCGAAATTTTGAAACAACCATCTGTTTAGTGCGAAAAAATCACTACTTTGTAACCTGATAAAACAATGGATGATAAAAAGGTAATCATCCTACTGCACTCCGCTTATCTGTACATGTGTCGTTAATGCAACGTTTTGCCCTCAAGTGATGTAAACTGTTGAAATGTGGCCTACAACGCAAAATCACCAGTAAAGTGGACTATCCGTTTGTGAAAATCTTATCGTCAGACAGCATCATTTTCAGCAATCTTCACAAACGGCAGATTATCCATGCCTTCAGTTTCACAGATAATTCTGAATCTCTTCAGCTTGACAGTTGATAAACATCCCTTAAGAATGACTTTATTTCCATGATTAGAGGACTAGATAAGTCTAGTCTACATAAGTCCTTAGTCGACCGCATCTGCCCATTCAGTCAAGAAAGTACTGTAGTGGGGAAAATGTAACATTGATTTGCAAAACACCACAGTACTCTTTATCACGAGTCCACAAGCACGTCATACAAGTAGGTTTCTTTTCACTTTCTGTCTCTACAGCTGAAATGAAACGGAAGTTTCTGTCAAAACGAAGCCTGAAGACTCTGAATTGCGCAGCGTGACTCAAACAAAGGAACTGTCAAATCTACCCAGTCTATTCCAATATACAAGCACAAACCCGCAATAGATAGTCTGTAATGCCAGAATGAAAAGAATAATAACCAGAGCGGTTTTACTCAATGCTTCATTAAATACGGTGAAATTCAGAAGGGATTAATTATTCAAATGATCTGTGCTGATTTTCTAGCCAAGGTTCTTCTGGTTAGCGTCTTGAATTTCCAAATTCAACTTCTATAAAATTTACCTTTAAAAACACAGACTTGAACTCTAATGACTCATTCATCATTAGTCTTGGTTACACTGAGCGAAACACCGAAACGATTGCTTGAACAGGACAAAAGAAAAACGAATAACGTATACTTCCACTTCTATTTGATGTCGGGACCAGACTTATCGTTACATTTCAAACCACGTTGTCAAAATGGACAGCAAGTTCCCAGGGCACACGAGGAATCATGATAGATCACTATATCTCTTAAAGGGTGAGATGAAACTGGATCCAGTAGTCTACAACTGGGTAAACCATCTTTGTGTTCCTAAGGGATTAATCTAAAGACGTTACCTAACCAACTCACTTTGGGAAGACTCTGTAACATTGCTGAGTAAGTCGCTTGACATAATTGTATGTTATTATGAGATTTCTTTCCATATGAAGCTCTTCGTTCCAGAGATAATATCATCCCTCTTTCTGTACTCTCATTAGCCGTGCATCAAAAAGTTCACGATTCAAACGAACTTTACTGGACTCGAAGTTATTGACAGAAAACTAAATGTCCGATAACGAAATGAGTTCTTGTGACAGAAAAATTATCCGACTAAAACGTTCGAAAATTTGTTCATTTCAGCTTTTCCACTGTGGAGCTGAGTCTCATCTCGTAATCCACAGGTATCTTCAGTGTATGTGCTGCTAAATAGAACCAGCATTCAATTTCTTGTTGGGTTGGCTATTGGACCGCCAGAATAACGACTGCAAAAAAAAACAAGGTTTATCTGGCATGATATTGTTGTTTATTGTGTAATAGTTGGGTTCCCCGCCAAAAAAGGCTCAAGACTTGTCAGAATCTCGAATCAAATCCCAAAGTAAACATTCAGACTAGCAGACCATGCTGAATTACGCACAATTCATTCACCTATCAAAATCAGTGGATTCAGAAGAGTGAAGACTGAGACAACTTCCAGCGCTTCCGGGTTTGAGCTTTTTCTTGAAGTTTAGCGCATTTATCTGCCCCCGGAAATAAAAGGCGATAAAAGCTCTGGATCTGTTCTGGTATGTTGTCACCATGCACCAATACACTTACCGAGTACCCACGGTGTACACTAACTTGTCGCAATGATATTCATCAAGGCCGCATGACGTTTTGGGAAAGATTTAAAAGCATATCATGAAGGTCAATGGTTCAGACCGATAAAGGAACGGTTCTAGGCGAGGACGTTGAGTGACTCCAAAAAGATTTTGAGA